AGTGTTTGTATTTTGGTATTATTGTGTGTTTTGTCTAAATAGTAAAATTGCTATCCAATCAGTTTCAAGTGATGGCTGCTGTAAATCTTAATATTTAATTTCTCCCCTTTCCCCTCAATTTCAAAGCCATAGAGCACAGTGATTAATAACTCTCAGACCCAGGAGCCACCTGGATCTGAATACCAGCTCTGCCACTTACTAACTGCATGACCTCAGGCAAGTTACTGAATCTTCAGTTCTGCCATCTGTAAACTGGAGATGCTAATAGTGTTTACATTCTATGACTGCTTGATAACTAGTAGGAGTACACCGTGTACTTTATTTAGAACAGTGTCTGGCCTAAAGTGACCACTCAGTAGTTGTTATTTGTTTCACTGCAAATAGAAACATTTGGCAAGAAGTGTTGCGATAGATAGAGCTGGAAAGGGCAATGGAGTGGACAGTGCTTGGTTAACCACATCAGAATCACTTGGAGGTTGCTCTAAAAATGCAGATTTCTGAGCCCATCTGTGAGATTCTGATGGAACCCAGGAACCTGGCTTTTTGCATCTGCTCCTCAGACTTGGATCGACAGCCAGGCTGGGGAACTATTGGCACAGAAGAAAATGCCCCAGATTTGGAGTAAGGAGATCCAGGACTCTGGTGGTGTTTCTGCCAGTGACCCAATGTGTGACTTCTGAGACTCCATTTTCTCATGTGTAAAATGCAGAAAACAAATTTGATGTGTTCATAGAGTAGTTGTGGGGGTCACATTGCTGAAGTCATCTCTTTGGGGAAGCTGGCTTACTGGGGTGAAAGAAACACAGGCTTTGCAGTAAGCTGGACCTGGCTGTGAGTTCCATTGTGGAGGCTGCTGCAGATGTTGCTAGTTGCCAATTCCATGTCCAGCCTCCTTTTACTAATGCATACCTGATTTTGCTTGGTGTGCAACTGTGCCTAGCTTAAAATACTTCCTCCCAGACTTCCTTGTGGCTAGGGTGGCCATGGGATACAGTTCACTCAGCTGAGGATTTTCTGGGGAGGCTTGTCTTTCCTTTTTTTTTTTTTTTTAATCTTTTTTGTTTTGGAGACAGGGTCTTGCTCTGTTAACCAGGCTGGAGTGCATTGGCATAAATACGACTTGCTGTAGCCTTAAACTTCTGGGCTTAAGCAATCCTCCTACCTCAGCCTCCTGAGTAGCTGAGACTACAGTTGCATACCACCACACCTGGCTAATTTTTTTTTTTTTGTAGAGAAAAGGCCTCACCATGTTTCCCAGGCTTGTCTCCAACTCCTGGGCTCAAGCAATCCTCCTGCCTCAGCCTCCCAAAGTGCTGAGATTATAGGCATGAGCCACCATGCAGCCTATTTTCTTGATATAGACACTTGTTCCTGTTTCTTTTTGCCCTCTTGTCTTTCCCTTTTCTTACTGCCTGGAACATGGATGAAAGGTGTGGAGGAGCAGCAGCCATCTTGTTCCTATGAGAGTACAAATCTGGGAGGGTTGCCCACAGGCTGAGTATGACAGTATGAGAAGATGAAAAGATTCTAGATCCCCAGTGGTGTCATCCAGCAGTGGCAGGCACCACCTCTGCACTGCCCACCCCAAATTTCTTATATATACGAGACAAATCTCTAATTGTTTAAGGTGGAGGTAGTTTTTTGTTGATTATTTGTACCCTAAAGCTTCTTAGGGAGAATAAAAAAAAAAAGATCCTAGTACCATGTCTGACCCTGTGGACATTCATATATCTGTTTCACCTTCTCTGGCTATGAGACATTTTCTGCATTTGTGCAGTGAGACTTCTTCTAAATTCAATACCTTATTTTAAACTGATGATTAGGTAGGCCGATTGGGCCCTTGGGGACTGGCCTTTGGAATAAAGGGTCCTTTATTTCAGGCCCTTCCCTGGGGGAGTTTGGGAAGGCAGTAGCACTAGTCTGTCACTCCCAAAATCCCACCAAGTGCCTCTACAGTGTGGAGAACCTATAGCACCCTTACCTATGGAGACGTCTGCACCTCAATAAAATCAGATGTTAAAATCTTAGGCCAGGCGTGGTGGCTTATACCTGTAATCCCAGCACTTTGGGAGGCCAAGGCGGGTGGATCACGAGGTCAGGAGATGGAGACCATCCTGGTCAACATGGTGAAACCCCATCTCTACTAAAAATACAAAAATTAGCCAGGTGTGGTGGTGGGCGCCTGTAATCCCAGCTACTTGGGAGGCTGAGGTGGAGAACTGCTTGAACCCGGGAGGCAGAGGTTGCAGTGAGCCAAGATTGCACCACTGCACTCCAGCCTGGGCAACAGAGAAAGACTGTCTCTAAAAAAAAACAAAGAAAGAAAGAAAAAAGAAAAAAAAATTCATGTGCTCTTGTGAGGTGGAGCAAGCAAAAGTGAGTTCAAAAGACATAAAATTGCCCTTGCTCTGAAGTAAATGTAGACGATGATTCTAAGTGGGACACACATTTGTGTGAAGGTAAGAATGAAACCTATTAACCTCCCACTCCCTCCTCCCCGACACATAAATATTTTCCATTATTTTCTCCTGTTGGAAGTACTTGAGTGTGAGTGTGGGCACTTGTATATCACTGGGGACAGAAAGGAGTTTGTTTTCATGACCATTCTTACCTGCCACAGTATGGCTTTTTTAGGAGCAGGCTAATGCATTTATGACCCATGGGAATGCCGTGATTCACCCACATCAGCTGCCCTCTCTGCCAACTGAATCCTGCAGGTCCCCATGGTCTTCCTGTCACTGACAGTTTGATCCCTTCCACCATTGCTGAATTCAACAGCACCTGAGTCAGGACTCTTGCAAACCTTACACTTCAAAATATAGTGACTACAAAGGGAAAGATTTTAAAAGCAAATGTATTCTTCCTCCATTATTAAAAAAAAAAGATTGAATGGCAAAACTTTAAATCTCCTTTTACTACAAAAGTAAGGAAAATCATGCAATGAGACAATCCTGTTGGGCCTTCAGCATAGACACCCTCCCCTTTCTTCCCCAAGGCTCCCTGCAGTCCAGGGCAGGTTTCTGTCCTTGGCAGGCTGAGCTTTATTCAGTCCCCTTGTTCCTTCCTAGATCATAACACTCTGGATTTCTCAGCCCTTTCAGTCTGGTTCTTCCCTCATGGCCTTCACAAGCCAGTCCCGTTCTGTCCCCTGCTCAGAGTCACTGGTGTCACTCACCTCCATAGACAGCAGCTTTGAGTACTTGATTTTCTGCTCTTGGGGCAGCCTCCGCTGTATGGACAGGAAAAAGGCCAACCAGAGCAACAGGACCACACAGCAGGCCTGGTAGAGCACAGCCAGGCTGAAGTGCATCACCACGAAGCCCCCAACGAAGCTGCCCAGGCTACAGCCACTCCCATAAAAGTGGCCTCAGAACAAGGCACTCAGAGCCCTCTCCATGCGGGGAGTGGTCAGGTCCTCTACTGAGGCCTCCACAGCCCACCACAGAGCTCTGTTGCTAATGGCACTCAAGATTTGGACAGGGAGGACAGACCACCAGCTCCAGAGGAAATAGAAGTAGAGCAGCTGCCCAGTGAGGCAGCCCAGCCCCAGCCCCACCAGGCCTGCCCTGGACAGTTTCCTAAGCAATGTCATTTCGAACAGATGAAGCAGAATTTCCCCCAGCAAGCTGAGGGCAACCGAGAAACCCATGACCAGCTCGCTGCTCCCATGGTCCTTCATGTGCCAGAAGAAAAAGTTCTGGACAGTACTGATGATGGTTCCTATCAAAACAATGGTGGAGGCGAGGAGAATGAGGCAGGGGTCGTCCCCCACAATAGACAGTATCTTGGAGCTTTTGTAGCTGGGCTCCCATGGCCGATAGATGGGAATGGGAAAGGCAATGCTCACCAATAAGGTCAGGATGCTGACCACCGAGTAGCCATAGAAGTGGACCACACCCCGGGGACCACTGGTCATCAGGAAGCAGTCCAGCTGCCTCACCAAGGCTGTGATGCCACACACACCTGCCAACATGCCCAGCAACCTCCAGACCGACAAGCTTCTGTATCGGTCAGTGGCATCAACAAAATCAAGGTACTCATAAAGGCTGTCATCTGCCACCTGCTGCAGAGGTGCTGTCAGCAGCTCCCAGAATGTCATGGACCCCAAGGAGAGGATGAAAGTCCACTGCAACCCTTCCAAGGACAAGTCAAAAGCCCAGGGTTTCCCCTGGGTCCCTGATAAATTGGCTGGATTTCCAGGCCCTTTCCCTGCAGGAAGCAAGGGGAGGGCAGTCCTGGCCACCTCAAAAGTAACTTCTCAGGGATGACCTTTCAGCCCTGAAGTGTCAGGATGGAGGAGAACTTGGGATGTGGTCCTAGGTCCTTCTACAGAGAGTGCTAAGTAGCTGTGAAGAACACCTAAAGTTTCTTGGTCACTTTCACCAGGTGGCTTTCTGAAGCTAGGTACCTCCACCTCTCCAGTCCTCTTGGCTGGGTGGCTAGAGGCAGGCTCTTGGGCCGAGGTGATGTTCACAGGTAGTGTGACCCCCAGTAGTGCATCTGTGCTAGTCACACTGCTGCTTCCATTACAAGGGAGGTGCACCCGATTTCTGTCTGCCAGTGGAACCAGGACCATCAGCAGGCTGGCCCCCACCGAGCCCAGCAGGGAGCCTATCAGAAGTGTTCTCAGTTTCCGGTAGCTTTTGGCCAGGATGGCACAGACGGGAGCCCAGAAGGCAGCGATCAGGTGCTTGCTTCCCATTAGGATGCCCACCCAGGGCGCGGCCAAGCCCAGCTGCCTCAGGTAGAGGGTCAGGAACGGGGTCACGCAGGCTTCCCGGACCCCGCACAGCAGGTGAAAGAGCTTGGCCACCCCCAGCGCCCTGCTGATGTCCCATCGCGGGTTGGCGCTCATGGCTGCCCGGCTCCTTCAGGCCTGGGCCGACAGAGGGCGGAGCTGGACGCAGGGCGGGCGCGGCCCCTTGTTCCCGGGAAGGAGGCTCAGGGGTCGGGGCTCCGAGCGAGTGGGACTGCGGCCCGGGTCTGGGGCAGTGCCACGGTCACCAGATTAACGCCCGCCCCCAGCCAACGCCCTCAGGTCCTCCCGCCCGGAGGGAGAGAAGCGGTGGGGGCGGGGGTGTGTGGGTAGGGCCGGCGTCCCGCGAGCCGCCACCGCGGGCTACCCGCCCGCAAGTTCGCAGGTGCGCAAGGGGCGCGTCCCGGGGCCTGCAAGGAGCGCTCTGAGCCCCGGCAGCCAGGCTCTTCTGGCTGCCACTGGCCACCGTACCCTAGGAGCTTGGGCTAAACACCTGTACTGCTTTAGGCAAGTAAAACCGTCAGAGTCGGCCTGCGGGGAGCCAGAATGGAATGCATGGCATCCACCAGGCTCTCTCCCTCATCTTCTTCAGGTCTTTACCCCATCAGTAACCAACAGCTGACACCGCAAATCCCATAACCCTGTCCCCACCCTGCCCCCAAGAATCCCACTCCCCTTCCCTACTTTGTGTTCTCTCTAGCACTTAATCACTGTCCAAGGCACTACAGGTTATTAGTTTATGTGTTGACCTTGTTTATTGTCTGTCTTCACCAGAATCCAAGCCCCAGGAAGGCAGGTATTTTTGATCCCAGGGCCTAGAATGGTTTCACTGGATGCGTGCTGCCCTCGGAAGTGGCATGACCTTGGGTGACACGGTTGTCTCCAGCTGGGAAAATCCCTAAGGAGGGCTGACAGCTGATGGCAGTCATCCAGGGACACTCCTTGCAGCCGGTCTGCCAGCACATGGCAGCCCCAGAACACTATGTATGTGCTGCTTAGTTTTAATCTACATCTAAGGGTGCTCAGGTGCCCTGTATGAGAGTACACACAGCTGAGGTGGTTAGCTAGCGTTTCATCAAAGAGACAGAGATAGCTAAGACAAGCACTTCATCATTTTTTTTTTTTTATTGGATTATAGGTTTTGGGGTAGATGAGCAGAGCATGCAAGACAGTTGCGTAGGTACACACATGGCAGTGTGCTTTGCTTTTCTTCTCCCCTTCACCCACATTTGGCATTTCTCCCCAGGCTATCCCTTCCCACCTCCCCCTCCCAATGGCCCTCCCCTTTTCCCCCCAATAGACCCCAGTGTTTAGTACTCCCCTTTCTGTGTCCATGTGTTCTCATTTTTCATCACCCACCTATGAGTGAGAATATGCGGTGTTTCATTTTCTGTTCTTGTGTCAATTTGCTGAGGATGATGTTCTCCAGATTCATCCATGTCCCTACAAACGACACGAACTCATCATTTCTGATTGCTGCATAATATTCCATGGTGTATATGTGCCACATTGTTCCAATCCAGTCTATTATCAATGGGCATTTGGGTTGATTCCAGGTCTTTGCTATTGTGAACAGTGCTGCAATGAACATTCGTGTGCATGTGTCCTTATAGTAGAATGATTTATAGTACTTTGGATATATACCCAGTAATGGGATTGCTGGGTCAAATGGAATTTCTATTTCTAAGGCCTTGAGGAATCGCCACACTGTCTTCCACAATGGTTGAACTAATTTACACTCCCACCAACAGTGTAAAAGTGTTCCTTTTTCTCGACATCCTCTCCAACATCTGTTGTCTCCAGATTTTTTAATGATCGCCATTCTAACTGGTGTGAGATGGTATCTCAATGTGGTTTTGATTTGCATCTCTCTGATGACCAGTGACGATGAGCATTTTTTCATATGATTGTTGGCCTCATATATGTCTTCTTTCGTAAAGTATCTGTTCATATCCTTTGCCCACTTTTGAATGGGCTTGTTTGTTTTTTTCCTGTAGATCTGTTTGAGTTCTTTGTAAATTCTGGATATCAGCCCTTTGTCAGATGGGTAGACTGCGAAAATTTTTTCCCATTCTGTTGGTTGCCGATCCACTCTAGTGACAGTTTCTTTTGCCGTGCAGAAGCTGTGGAGTTTGATTAGGTCCCATTTGTCTATTTTGGCTTTTGTTGCCAATGCTTTTGGTGTTTTGTTCATGAAGTCCTTGCCTACTCCTATGTCCTGGATGGTTTTGCCTAGATTTCCTTCTAGGGTTTTTATGATGCCAGGTCTTATGTTTAAGTGTTTAATCCATCTGGAGTTAATTTTAGTGTAAGGTGTCAGGAAGGGGTCCAGTTTCTGCTTTCTGCACATGGCTAGCCAGTTTTCCCAACACCATTTGTTAAACATGGAATCCTTTCCCCATTACTTGTTTTTGTCGGGTTTATCAAAGATTGTATAGTTGTATGTATGTTGTGTTGCCTCCGGTGCCTCTGTTTTGTTCCATTGATCTATATCTCTGTTTTGGTACCAGTACCATGCTGTTTTGATTACTGTAGCCTTGTAGTATAGTTTGAAATCCGGTAATGTGATGCCCCCAGCTGTGTTCTTTTTGCTTAGAATTGACTTGGCTATGCGGGCTCTCTTTTGGTTCCATATGAAGTTCATGGTGGTTTTTTCCAGTTCTGTGAAGAAAGTCAATGGTAGCTTGATGGGGATAGCGTTGATTCTGTAAATTACTTTGGGCAGTATAGCCATTTTCACGATATTAATTCTTCCTAACCATGAACATGGAATGTTTCTCCATCTGTTTGTGTCCTCTCTGATTTCGTTGAGCAGTGGTTTGTAGTTCTCCTTGAAGAGGTCCCTTACGTTCCTTGTGAGTTGTATTCCAAGGTATTTTATTCCTTTTGTAGCAATTGCGAATGGCAGTTCGCTCTTGATTTGGTTTTCTTTAAGTCTGTTATTGGTGTAGACGAATGCTTGTGATTTTTGCACATTGATTTTATATCCTGAGACTTTGCTGAAGTTGCTTATCAGTTTCAGGAGTTTCTGGGCTGAGGCAACGGGGTCTTCTAGGTATACTATCATGTCGTCTGCAAATAGAGACAATTTGGCTTCCACCTGTCCTATTTGAATACCCTTTATTTCTTTTTCTTGCCTGATTGCTCTGGCTAGAACTTCCAGTACTATATTGAATAGGAGTGGTGAGAGAGGGCATCCTTGTCTAGTGCCAGAATTTAAAGGGAATGCTTCCAGTTTTTGCCCATTCAGTATGATATTGGCTGTTGGTTTGTCATAAATAGCTTTTATTACTTTGAGATACGTTCCATCAATAGAGTTTATTGAGGGTTTTTAGCATAAAGGGCTGTTGAATTTTGTCAAATGCCTTCTCTGCATCAATTGAGATAATCATGTGGTTTTTGTTTTTGGTTCTGTTTATGTGGTGAATTACGTTGATAGACTTGCGTATGTTGAACAAGCCTTGCATACCTGGGATGAATCCTACTTGATCATGATGAATAAGTTTTTTGATTTGCTGTTGCAATCGGCTTGCCAATATTTTATTGAAAATTTTTGCATCTATGTTCATCATGGATATTGGTCTGAAGTTTTCTTTTCTCGTTGGGTCTCTGCCGGGTTTTGGTATCAGGATGATGTTGGTCTCATAAAATGATTTGGGAAGGATTCCCTCTTTTTGGATTGTTTGAAATAGTTTTAGAAGGAATGGTACCAGCTCCTCCTTGTGTGTCTGGTAGAATTCGGCTGTGAACCTGTCTGGACCTGGGCTTTTTTTGTGTGGTAGGCTCTTAATTGCTGCCTCCACTTCAGACCTTGTTATTGGTCTATTCATAGTTTCAGCTTCCTCCTGGTTTAGGCTTGGGAGGACACAGGAGTCCAGGAATTTATCCATTTCTTCCAGGTTTACTAGTTTATGCGCATAGAGTTGTTTGTAATATTCTCTGATGATGGTTTGAATTTCTGTGGAATCTGTGGTGATTTCCCCTTTATCATTTTTTATTGCATCTATTTGGTTGTTCTCTCTTTTATTTTTAATCAATCTGGCTAGTGGTCTGTCTATTTGTTGATCTTTTCAAAAAACCAGCTCTTGGATTTATTGATTTTTTGAAGGGTTTTTCGTGTCTCAATCTCCTTCAGCTCAGCTCTGATCTTAGTTATTTCTTGTCTTCTGCTGGGTTTTGAGTTTTGTTGATCTTGCTCCTCTAGCTCTTTCAATTTTGATGATAGGGTGTCAATTTTGGATCTCTCCATTCTCCTCATATGGGCACTTATTGCTATATACTTTCCTCTAGAGACTGCTTTAAATGTGTCCCAGAGGTTCTGGCATGTTGTGTCTTCGTTCTCATTGGTTTCGAAGAACTTCTTTATTTCTGCCTTCATTTCGTTGTTTACCCAGTCAACATTCAAGAGCCAGTTGTTCAGTTTCCATGAAGCTGTGCGGTTCTGGGTTGGTTTCTGAATTCTGAGTTCTAACTTGATTGCACTATGGTCTGAGAGGCTGTTTGTTATGATTTCAGTTGTTTTGCATTTGTTGAGCAGTGCTTTACTTCCAATTATGTGGTCATTTTTAGAGTAGGTGTGATGTGGTGCTGAGAAGAATGTGTATTCTGTGGATTTGGTGTGGAGAGTTCTGTAAATGTCTATCAGGTTTGCTTGCTCCAGGTCTGAGTTCAAGCCCTGGATATCCTTGTTGATTTTCTGTCTGGTTGATCTGTCTAGTATTGACAGTGGAGTGTTAAAGTCTCCCACTATTAGTGTGTGGGAGTCTAAGTCCTTCTGTAAGTCATTAAGAACTTGCCTTATGTATCTGGGTGCTCCTTCATTGGGTCCATATATGTTCAGGATCGTTAGCTCTTCTTGTTGTATCGATCCTTTTACCATTATGTAATGGCCCTCTTTGTCTCTTTTGATCTTTGTTGCTTTAGTCTATTTTATCTGAGATGAGAATTGCACCTCCTGCTTTTTTTTTCTTTCCATTAGCTTGGTAAATCTTCCTCCATCCCTTTATTTTGAGCCTTTGTGTATCCTTGCATGTGAGATGGGTTTCCTGGATACAGCACACTGATGGGTTTTGGATTTTTATCCAATTTGCCAGTCTGTGTCTTTTGATTGGTGCATTTAGTCCATTTACATTTAGGGTTAATATTGTTATGTGTGAATTTGATACTGCCATTTTGATTCTAAGTGGCTGTTTTGCCTGTTAGTTGTTGTAGATTCTTCATTATGTTGAAGCTCTTTAGCATTAAGTGTGATTTTGGAATGGCTGGTACTGATTGATCCTTTCTATGTGTAGTGCCTCTTTCAGGAGCTCTTGTAAAGCAGGCCTGGTGGTGAGAAAATCTCTGAGTACTTGCTTGTTCACAAAGGATTTTATTTTTCCTTCACTTCTGAAGCTCAGTTTGGCTGGATATGAAATTCTGGGTTGAAAGTTCTTTTCTTTAAGAATGTTGAATATTGGCCCCCACTCTCTTCTG